AAACAATTACAGTGATTCCCTTATTCATGCATTTGGGGTGCGCAATAGACTTACCTCCACGTGGTGCACCCTGGGCAACGTACACTCATACGGCAAAAAAGTCCATTAATCGGCATTTGACTTCTGACTTCAAACTGCCACGACCCCCTGGTTGTCATATTCGACCCCTTCTACAGTACTCACTTTACCTTTTTCTCTACCTTTGTGTCTGTCTGCCTCTTTTACATCTGTGAATCGTTCTTCTGTTCCCCACCCCTCGATTTTCTGCTACTTTGATGAACCTTCCCTCTATGAAGCCCGAAGTCAGCTAAATGGCTAATGATATCTATCAAAACGCCTGCCATTTGAAGTAAATCTTACAGTTCGAAATGATAGAAAGCTGGAATTATAGCCTTCAGGTGGAGAAAGAACGAATTCATTCATATATTTGCACATTTTATAATTGCCCGTAGGCAATTGTTCATTGCTTGTAGAAACTAAGAATATTGAGAATGTCATGCCAACTCTGTGCACTTCAGTTCGGTCTATTAAACTCAATTCCGTTTACACATTACGACAAAAATTGCTCATAGATCACCCCAGATAGATCATTTACTCAGCTAGTTGTAAACTTTAAGCCAACGTTGCTAGGGGCCTGGATTAATTAACATTTTAGTGTTTTTTCCCACTGTCACTTCTGTGAGCGCATCTATCCATCTTGGAAGAATCCAACTAGAGCATTTTATGAGTATAAATTTTCATAAAAGTCAATATTTCCATTTTAAAATAGTCGATTAGAGTTAAGGGTGCACTGTTGCCAACACATATCTTATTAGCACATATGAATATGAGTTCATTGTCTAATTTCAGTCAATTCTGGTTCTTATTATAGCTTGTAGCTTTTATCACCTCTAGTACACCTTTAACCTCACCCATCAGGAGTAAACATCATCAGACCTATCCTCCTGTACTCTACTGAGTAAATACAGTTAGGCTGGATAGAGCGCTGTTGGTTGGTCACGGTTTAACGCACACTTAGCACCATCGCGCTATATGTATACATAAACATATATATATATATATGCCATTTCCATGTACAAAATGAGTGCTCATGGTCGGCAAGCAGGAGTGGGGTCAAGCAGATATGTTGGAAGAAAAGATGGAAGGGAAACAAATCCTGACATGCAAGGAGAAGTTCATGAAGGGCCTGATGGACAACATGTTCACCATTCTAACTCTTATCGGCGTCGCTGTGGGATTTGGTATTGGCTTTGGGGTCGGCACCTTAAAACCTTCAGAAGTTACCATAACATGGATTAGTAAGTTCGAGAAACATTTGCTGATCCTTATATGATCCTCAGGAATATTTAGTGCAGTTGACAAAAAAATATATTTTTTGATGGTTCTTTGTGTAACGTTTGATTGTTTCCAATTTTCGGTACCACACAGTTCAAATTCGCCAATTTTAATAGATTGAATGATAATGGAACTATAAAGTCATTTTCGACATATGATAGCTAAATATTTCCTCTATTTGTTACTGAATTTTGAAGGTACTACTTTACTAATAACGTTAGTATATTTTCATCTATCGGTAGTGCATTTGAACAGAAATTAAATTCTAGAACTTTTGAAACTATTTATCCTTGTTTTCTTGCCCATTATTAATGCTATCTTTTTTTAATTTTCAGAAATTATCGGTGATCTTTACATTAATCTTCTTAAACTCACAATTCTACCAGTCATTGCAGCCAACGTTATAGTTGGTAAGTTCATTAGGGTCAAAATAAGCAAATTCATTTCTTAATAATTTGGTGTAAAAATGTATCTTTATCTTTTCTTATTGGTTAGTCATGGCTAGAATGGACCCAAAACAAAATGGAAAGATGAGTTTGGCTGCAATCAGTTTTGTGATTGGTTTCGATTTGATCAGTGGAGCTATTGGAGTTATTGCTGCTGCGCTTATTAAACCAGGTAAATACTATAATCTACTTACCCTCTTTTATTGAATCGAATTTTTATAATTTAAGTCAATTTAGAAAGAGGGTGAATTAGACCCAGAATATGGACAACGCAATCATTAAAACAATGGGGGGGGGGTTGACTTAACCTGGCAGCATAATTTAGCGGATTAACACTAAGGGTCATGGTAAAGAGTGCGTGAGAGAAAATGGGTGATTGAATGTGGGTGGTGTGTTGCTAATGGATCAATAATCTGGTAGTGAGTGCGCTCGTTCTTACTCATGGAGAAAAAAATCAATAAAACCGTTCATGAGGAGAGTAGATGCCAAGTGGAGTGGAATTGTTAATTCATACATAATTGCGTCGTTTAGTAATAAATTGTAAGTTGAAGTAAACAAGGTAAAATTATTAACTGACTATTGAAAGCAAAGTACAAATTTAATTCAAGATTTGTGTGAGCAAATAACTAGCAATTAATATGTTTATTCTTAGGTCTGTTGACTACGGCGAAACCAGAGTCAACAATTACTGAAGGACGTGATTCTGCACCGGTCACAGCATCAGATGTATTTGTTGATCTCTTAAAGTAAGCAAATTGAGTAAATTTTTCTCATCTCATGAATATTCTACAAGGCAACAGCGCATTTCATAGGCCCAAAATGTGTAAATATATGATTTGGTACTTGTCATCGTCATCATGGCCAAGGCAATGGAGGGAAAATCCTGTCGATTCATATATTGAGTGGATTGAAGGCATTGAATGCGCAGAATGTTATCCTTAATCTTGAGATTACTAATAATGCCAGTGCATCAGCATATTCAGTAGCAAAATACATCAACAGCTAGTCTTCTATTTGAACTGAACATTCTGAGTTCCATTGACAAAATTCCACCACTCAGAATTCTAACCCTTAAGCTATTCATTCTAGTTTTGTAAATAAAGGCGAGATAAAATTATTTAAACGCAAATTTTCTCTGGATGCAAAATATATAGAAATAATAAATTGATTACAATTTTGCAACCTTTTTGGATGGTAATAATCGAAAGTAGTCTAGATTCCGGCAACAAAACTACCTCAGACATCCACATTTTAGAACATATAAAGGAAACAATAATTTCTTTTAAGTGGAGATAGTTGATTAAGTGAGTAGATAGAGAAGTGGCCTGTACTTAGGAAGCGGTTGACCGATTTTAAATTCTTCCTCCTTTGACAGTTTCGATTTGCATTCGATTATTGAAAAAAATGGAGAGAATGAGCAGGCCTACTATTCAATGTGCGCATTTCCACAAATGGCAACAGAGATTCGTATTATGAGTTAATCAACATTAAAAAAATGCTCAAACTTTACCATTATTGTCCTATGTTAGTATATCCTGATCAGTGCTTGTTCTGCTATTTCTTTACTCAATGACTAAAGTGTTAGATTAAACAATGAAAGTCAATAGTTTAATGTCGTTTGCTAGGAAAGTTAGTATTTTACACGGAAGCAGTTTTAGATTTGTGTTAATTTTCGCTGACATACAAATTTTGCACTTTTAGAAATATGTTCCCGGACAATATTGTTGATTTAACGATCCATCAGGTAAGATCACTGACCAAAAAGTAATAAGTCTAACAAGTGGATAGTTTAGAATAAATTCAATTAACTTTACTTTACTTAATCTAATTTTCAATTAAACGCAGACGAAAACCATAAGAAGGTGGCCATATTTCCCGCATAAAAATGTAACAATCCCAGTGACAATTAGCCTCAATGCGACAAATATGATCGGTAAGCTGTTAGTTCTCGAATAACGGTTTCGCTACTTTTATCACTATCATTTTCTAACACCTAGTTGCCCCTAACACTAACTTTAATGTAAAAAGAAGGGAGAGCATGTGCTCCTCAAAGGACACTTCTTCCCTGGGGTGGGGGGGGGGGACAAAATTAGTTCAATTTTATGAAATTGAAAAAAATGATAAATTATTAGCAGCCTGTTTAAACAAAATCGAAGAGATGTACTTTAATTCAGGCATGAACGTATAAAACCAATAATCGATAAGCCAGTGTGGGAGAGATTCAATTAATAGTTCTATTTTTTAGAACTAAAGCAAATTGAGTTTTAGAATCCTCTATGAAAATTATTGATTTTCATAGGAGAAAATATTTGATCACAGACGTTTTAAAAATAGGGAGTTGAGTTAGGTCACAGTGTATTGGGAAAACAAGATGGATTGAGGTTAGAGGATCAGACAACATCATTAGTGAGTGGGTGGAACTAGGGCTGTGATAAACATTGTGATAAATACTGTTTACCAATTGCCGAAACTTCAAAAGAGGTGTCATTCATCATTCACACACCCACGCACTATAAGTGAAGTGTTTGCAGGGGCGAAAGTAGAAATCAAATTTGACTTTATCTGAGCATTTTCCCGTAGCAAATTCGTGGTCCATGTGAAAGTTAGTTTGCGTTCAAAGGACCAAATCCTTATATCATTAGCCGAAATATTTCCGTTGAAGGATATGTTAAATAGTCGAAGTCCATGGAGTTGGGACTTTATGGGGAGGGGAGGGGAGGGAGGGGGGTTGGTGTGTTGGTAAAGGCAAAATTAAAGGCAATGAGATGTCAATTTAAATGCTTTTTTTGACATATTGCTTTCGTATTAGTGGCTTTACTTGTTCAATATTGTTATGTCATTACAAATTCAAGGTCTCATCTTCATAACAATTATGTTTGGAATCGCTGCTGGAGCCGCGGGAAAGGCGGGAAAAGCATTCATCGATTTCTTTGAGTCCGTCGGGAATGTCGTTCTTATTTTGATGCGCTGGTTCCTCCTGTGAGTAATCAATGCTCACCCTTTCACATAAATCAAATTGATATTGAGGGTTTTTTTCTCTCTCCTCTAGAGCCACACCAGTGGGTGTGTGTTTCATGGTTGCGGGATCCGTAGTGGGTTTGAAAAATGTGTCCGACACCTTCAAGAGCTTGGGTCTATTCATGGTCACAGTATTGGCAGCGCTATCCATCCACATGATTCTCCAGATGATCGTCTATTTTTCCGTCTCCTCAAGGAATCCATTTCGAATGTTGGTCGTTGGTTTTAGAGTCTTCTTCCTATCCTTCGTCACTACCTCTCCGTCAGTTAATCGATTATTATTTTGTCATGCTTTTTTTAATAACCTTAAGAAATCATTTATTTATATCAAATGGCGGGCGTCTTGATGGTTATCATTAGCCCTTTAGTTGACTTCAGGCTTCACAGAGAGGAGGAGGAACATCAAAGTGACAAAAAGTCGAGAGGGGGGGGGGACAGAAGTGTTTCAAAGACAAAGATAGAAAAGGTAGAAAAAATGCGAGGTGAGTACTGCTGAAGTAGTCGAATATGACATACAGTGGGGGTGATGGTAGTTTGAAGTGAGAAGTCAACTACCGCTTAAGAGACTTTTTTGCCGTATGAGTATACGTTGCCCTGGGTGTACCACGTGGAGGTAAGTCTATCGCCCCCC